TTGTAAACTGGAATCTTCTTCAAATTTTCCATACAACACATGAAAAAGGAGAACTCACATGGAAAAAACACACGTTGTTCAAATATCCACTTTTAAAAAATCTTCCCTTTCCAAGTGAAGTAACAGAATTGGCATTAGTATTCTAATAGAGCTTTATACTCTAGGCTTACGATTTTTCTCAACACAAATGACAGGAAACATTTACCATTGACATCTTTCTAAAATATACATCCAAATTCATTTTCTCCTAAACCTTCTCATCTCAAAATTCTCTGTGTGGTCTGCCTATCTCTGTGGATAGGCATCAATTTGATGCAAACATAATGGGTATTAATCCCAGGTAATCAGTTTCATTCATGAAAGCATTCAATAATAAATATAAACATAGCCAAAAAGTTCTTAGAAAGTAAACATCAAATGTAAACAATGTAGTGGAGACCTATACTGACCGATCTAAGCGCCTTCTTAACTATACCTCGAACTCAAGTTATTTCTCAAATACTGGATGCTAAATGTGATCAATTATATATACGTATATAGTATCAATGTCGTACAATGGTATATGTTATTTTTTTACATGTGCAGTTTTTAAGAAATGCTCATAAACATTAAATGTTAACTTAACCATAAGTGTTAACTTAACCATAAGTGTTAACCTCAAGTTAATGGAGTAAACGCCACAAAAGAATTAATTTACTAAAAGATATAGATGAAACTGATTCACATTTTCAATGTTAGAATATTTTAAGCTTAAAAAAATCTTACTGTGATACTTGCATAAACAAAATTCCCTCATTTGTAGTATTAGATGCAACCCCAAACCCCACTGTCAATGAGTCAATTTCTACACATAGCACAAGCCCATAGGACAGAACAGAACTGCTCTGTAGTTTCGGAGATTGTAAATATTTACAAAAGAAACACTGCATAATCCCTACCATCACTCCCTCAGAGCCACTGGTAAATTCAGATCCCCAATTTTTTGGTTAGCGGCTCAGTGTACCATCGGTAGAACTAAACACACCCACTATTCCTACATACCAGGTTTGCAAAAGTGACTGAAAAAATAATTTAGGCAAAAATTCATGCTAGCTATTCAATCTTCTTGAACAAAATAATTTGTATTGCATGAAGCTCACAATTTAAAATGTTTGCTCTCTCTTCCTAGTCTGCTGACACATCAGCTATATAATAGATCTTTAATACATGCCTGATTGGAGAAACACAACCCCTAGTTCCTAAAGCACAGCTATAAACCAGGAAGATAATGGATTTTTTGAAAGATTATTTGCCTCAAAGCTCCAGCATTTATTTTCACAAAGCGTTCACTTCAGAAAGTGAACAATCTTCTGGATAATGAGAGTTTATCTAGTTTCACAGGTAACAAAATAACAGGAGAGCTGCTCAACGTTCTAAATTTAAATCTACTTCCTTCTCTAGCTGTGAGTTGGAATAGATATA